AATTAGAAATTTGCGGCCGAGGCATAGCCGAGGCCAAGCAAATTTCAGGTGAGGCCAAAAAAGATCATTCGGCCGAGGCGCACACAAACTTTTTTAGGCGAGTGTAAAAAAGACGAAAATTCAACAATAGCTTTGAAATTTTATTGATCAAATAAATAATCCAGCAAAGATAGGTAGATACATAATTATTAGTAACAAATACTACGATTAAGAAACTGTGATTATAGAAAATTGCCGACTTTTTCGCCTGGTATCCTACATTGTGCTTTTTGAAAAAAGCAATCAATTTTGAAAACTTGCTGATATGTTATTTTCGACTATAATTGTAAATTTTAACATAGAGTATACATAGATGGATCCAGATTATGTGGAAATTTGGATAGAGCTAAAATTAAAAATTTGGTTTCATTGTGGTTGCTAACTAATTGTCTATTGGTTATGTTGATGGTTACGGCACCACGTTTTGGATTGTCTGTTTATTTGCCCCAAAGTAGCGGCCGTAAAGTAAAAGCGGCCGTGAAGGATCATTTTTATCTTGGCCTCAATGATCGAGAGTTCGCGTCGGCAGTGTTCTGTGACCTGGCAAAGGCCTTTGACTGTGTCAATCATGGGATTCTGCTGGGCAAGCTTGAGATTTATGGTTTCAGAGGGTCAATTTTGAACTGGTTCAAGTCATACCTATCTGATCGCGTCCAGAGCGTATCTTTCAACAACTACACTTCCACTGAGCTCCGGGTTGAAGCAGGGGTTCCTCAGGGGTCTGTTCTGGGACCTCTTCTGTTTCTTCTTTAGGTCAACGACCTCTCTTCTGTGATTGTTAATGTACTTCCTTTGCAGACGACACTACTATCCTGTGGCATCATGGTAGTGTTGATCTGCTCAATGACATGGTGAACACTGACCTATCAAATATCAAAAAATGGTGTGATGCTAATCTGCTTTCATTTAATGTTTCCAAAACGAACATAATTCACTTTAAGGGTAATTTCAATTTTCAATAATTCCATTTCAATTGACGGTCAGCCTATCAGCAACTTGAGCGAAAACCGATTTTTGGGCTTGTACATTGACAGTAGACTGAAGTTTGGGACTCATATCTCCAATTTGTGCTCTAGACTGTCTTCCGGCTGCTTCGCTATGAGGGCCGTAAAAAATGAATTAAATACCGATATCGCAAAGAATGTTTATTTTTCTCTTATAGAGTCCCATCTAAGATATGGCATTTGTTTCTGGGGCTCTTGCTCTCATAACCTCTTCCAGTCAGTATTTGTGTTACAGAAGCGCGCTATTAGATGTGTTTTCGGTTTGCGACTCCGAGACTCGTGCAAGCCTACATTTAAAGCTGAAAAAATACTGACGGCTTATAGCATTTTCATATTGGAGTCTGCGTGCTTAATGCATAGGAAGTACCTGAATCTGGTACACTCTGTATCCGCTGTAAATACTCGAAGCTCGTTTACCAATGATCTGCCCATTCCCTCTTCAACTTTAATCAAGAACTGTCAATGGTTTTTATAAAATTTAGACAATAAAGCATTATTGAATTGAATTGAATTGAAAAAAAAAACTTGATTCTTTATAATAGTAAAAGGCTGTTCAATAAGTTGCCTGTCCAGATTCGACGAATTGTAGATTACAGGGTGTTTAGAAATACGGTGAAAAGACTCTTGGCTGCGGAGGGGTTTTACAGTTTTGATGAGTTCCTGTCCCATAATTTCAATTAGGTTTAAATAACTAGCCCAATGCTACTCTGGATTTTAATTTTAATTTTAATTTTAATTTTAATTTAATTTAATTTTAATTTTAATTTTAATTTTAATTTTAATTTTAATTTTAATTTTAATTTTAATTTTAATTTTAATTTTAATTTTAATTTTAATTTTAATTTTAATTTTAATTTTAATTTTAATTTTAATTTTAATTTTAATTTTAATTTTAATTTTAATTTTAATTTTAATTTTAATTTTAATTTTAATTTTAATTTTAATTTTAATTTTAATTTTAATTTTAATTTTAATTTTAATTTTAATTTTAATTTTAATTTTAATTTTAATTTTAATTTTAATTTTAATTTTAATTTTAATTTTAATTTTAATTTTAATTTTAATTTTAATTTTAATTTTAATTTTAATTTTAATTTTAATTTTAATTTTAATTTTAATTTTAATTTTAATTTATTTATTTTTATTTTTATTTTTATTTTTATTTTTATTTTTATTTTTATTTTTATTTTTATTTTTATTTTTATTTTTATTTTTATTTTTATTTTTATTTTTATTTTTATTTTTATTTTTATTTTTATTTTTATTTTTATTTTTATTTTTATTTTTATTTTTATTTTTATTTTTATTTTTATTTTTATTTTTGTTTTTGTTTTTGTTTTTGTTTTTATTTTTGTTTTTGTTTTTGTTTTTAATTTTTATTTTTGTTTTTATCTTACATTGTTTAGTGATTAGAATTTTATTACTAGTTTGTCATCAAGATATGTAATCTATTAGGAAGTTGGATCTTATGGATATTATGATTATGTAGTTTATTTTCCACAGCTTTGTAAATGAGACTATGTCTTCCTACAATAAAGCAATTTTGATTTGATTGATTTGATTTGAAGTAAAAGCGGCCGTAAAGTAATAAAGCAAATGCAGCCGTGAAATAAATGCGGCCGTAAAGTAAATGTGGCCAAAAAAGATATAGTTTAGGGCGAGCTTTAGGGATGATATTGAATCCGTAAAACTTATCATTTTGTGACAGTCGCCTAAAAAATTGAAATTAAAGTCCTGGTATTTTTGCAAAAGCATGCAACTTCATGTTGTAGCTACTTGCAATCAGTATGGCAAACAATTTTGTAAATGTGAAGTTGGTTATCAACTAAGTTTAAATACATTTTCCAAGAGAATGTAACAAGTTCCAGTGACAATAGCGAGATACCCCAAAAGCAACAGTTTGCTGTTTAGAAAGAATACGGCCATTTTTCATTACTCAACCAACGATAACAGGAACTGTATACACTAATATATTGGGACATTTCTTTCATCCACAGTCAAGACGGGAGGGTATCTTGAATATTTATCTATTCTCAGCAGGATTATGCCCCACCTCATTATTCTTTAATAGCAAGGGAATCACTAGATATGGACATTTGGGAAAAGATGGATAGGAAGAGCTGGTCCTATAGAATGGTCACCTTACTCTCCTGACTTTTAACAATTTCAGACTTTTTTCTCTGGAATAATGTCGAGGAGAACCTGTAATCCTTCGCCAAATAGCCTGGAAGATCTTAAGTGGAACATTCGTAATGTAATTGATTTCCCAGGAAATGTTACACAATTTATTCAACCTGATCCATTAATGCGTGGAACATAATGGCTAACATATATAAAGCATTTCTTATAGTTTTATGCAGTTTTTATTAACTTTTTAATCAATCAATCAATCAAAATATACTTTATTGTCGGAAAATAAATTTCATTGACAAAGCATGATCTTAAATAATGTGCAAGTAATTAAAAATTATCGGGTTATAAAAAAAAAGAGGTACAATCAATAAAATAAAAAATAAACATAAACATAAATGTCAAAGCATAATCCTAAGCAACACATGTACAATTTTTACTACATCAAACTATAGAGTCATATAGAAGGTACAGCCAATACAGAAAAAACATAAAGGTTGCGGTCAGAACAAAACAAAACAATGAAACAAACAAAATTAAAATTTTTCATTTAAAAATTCATTAATATGATAGTAGGCTTTTCCATGTAAAAATGTTTTGAGCTCTAGTCTAAACTTTTTAAAACCACCTATCTGCCTTAAGTTAACAGGCAGATGATTAAAAATTTGCCTACTTTTATAAATTAGTGAATTTTTCGTCAATGCAGTCTTGGGTATAGGAAGCTGAATTTTAAGAAGTTGCCTAGTTGAGGCAAGAAGGCAACCATAATTTCCAAGCTTTGTAAATATGCTAATAAAAAATACCAGGATTTCGATTTTATTTTTTTACGGCTAAATTTTCAAGTTTAAAGGACAAAGGACAATGTTTATCGGTAAATGGATACCTTAAACATGACTCTTTTTTTTGACGTTGTGATATACAGGGCCTTCCATTAAAAATAGTTGAGAATTTTGATGTTGAAAAACGGATTTTTTTTTACTTGCCCTGTATGGAAGGCAAAAAAAATTGCAACCTACTAAGAAAAAGTTTAGGTCAAGAGAAATCGAATGGCGTAAACCGCAGGTAGCTAGCATTCTAGCATAAGCACCTGGTTTAGAAGTTATAAGCAATTAAAATGGGTCACTTTCGGCTGGGACACCCTGTATAATATAGATTTTAAAATTTTCACATCTAAATTTCTGGCCATTGTTCTTACACAGTAATGAGCACAGTAAAAACCAGAGGCAAGCCTTCTATCTAGTACCAAGATATGAGACTGGAATTTGAGATTAACATCCATATGAAGTTCAAGAAATTTAGTATGCTGGGAGGACTTAATAGAAAAGTATCAATATTATCAGCATTACATTGGAAACCAAGCACAAGCTCCCGTGTTTTGTTGAAATTGAAAAGAAGCTTGTTCGTGTCATTTCATTGTTCGTGTCACACCAGCGTTTTATTTGTTTTTTGTTTGGTGTCATGAGATATAAGCTGAACCAGCCCATCAGGCTTCCTCTCATGCCAAAGAACCGTTGCACAAAGACCCCAGATATATTAACATAAAAAAGATTGTTCATTCAAATAAGGAATCAGATTGGCCTTGGGGATATTTAGAATATCCTCCCAAAACACATATTGTTTAAATTCGAAAAACTTATATTCATACTTTTTCAGGATGAGTTTTAAAGGAAACAATGATAAATATGAATATAAAAAATATGAAAGTCGCAAGAGAATTGCATTTAAACCAAAAATATTGCTTGTAGCCAATGTCCCACAAACAAAATACATAGAGAAATTTTTCAATAGAAAAAAAATCAAAAAGATGCATTAGATGTTTGTATTTACCAATCAAGCTTTCGTGGTGTCAATATATGTTCATCCTCGATGCCTCCAAGGCCCAATTCTCCATTGATGGTACTTCCCCAAGCAAACATTGTCAATAATGCTACCAAACAATGTGATGATACAACTTATTCATTATTCGAGAACTGATGCTGCTGATTAGCTATCTATTCCACTCTTTACTATTCGGGTGAACAAGTGGAAGGCCTAGAATATTCCATATAATTGATATTTTTTGCATGCATTCCAAACTAATTTCCTGGTGGTTTTTCTTGTGGTTTTGATTAGATTATTTTCTCACCAGTGACAATATGCGTTTTTAATTTATGTTGCTTGAACTGTACTAGTGATTTGGTCTGGGTAAATAAAACGCAATAAAGAATTATTATAAATGTTTAGGAAAAAAAAATGACAATGATATGACTAAAAATAAATAAAGGTTAAAAGGATTGAGGTTAAAATATTTATCATTGACAAGTGTACCAATCCAACACTTTTCACGTGGCTCCGGTTTAACAAACCGCAACATACCGCTCAAATTCGAGTGGTAGGTATCTATCACGTCACTTTTTAACCGGGTTAGAAAACGGTATGTCATTTCTCTAACCGTTTTGTAACCCGGTTAGTTGAACCGGAGCCACGTGTAAAGAACTATAGAGAAATAAACCAAGAGCTCTTTTCACGTGGCTCCGGTTTAACTAACCGGGTTACAAAACGGTTAGAGAAATGACATACCGTTTTCTAACCCGGTTACAAAGTGACGTGATGGATACCTACCACTCGAATTTGAGCGGTATGTTGCGGTTTGTTAAACCGGAGCCACGTGAAAAGGGTTAAGGTAAGAGTCAAGGTACGGTTTGTTAGGAGAGTACGCGTCGCACAACTGACAACGTAAACGTAGTCATTGGTTCAGGTACAGTGACCACGTGACTCTATTACCACAGTGGCGACAATTGCTGTCTTATTTTTGATTGGTTCTAAAATCCCATATATTTATATTGAGAACGCCGCCATCTTGTTCCCAACCTCTTGTTACTTTTAAATATGAATATATGGGATTTAGGTGAACATCTATCATAAATCATGGAAAACAACGTATTTGATGGACCTAATTATAATCATCAAATACGTCGATTTCAATTTTTTATGATAGATGTCCATTTAAATCCTATATATTAATATTTAAAAGTAACAAGAGGTTGGGAACAAGATGGCGGCGAGACCTCTATTGTCGCCACTTGTATGTAAAGGTTTATTTATTTAGCCACTGTAGGTTCAGGTATGACCATAGGTATGACGTACACCCGTTTTCTCACGTCAGAAGACGGGTGTACGTCATACCTGAACCAATGACGACGTTTACGTTGTCAGTTGTGCGTCGCATACTCGTACTATCCCGTGCGTTTTTATTAGGCATTCCAGGTTAATGTCATAACCGATCCGCCATATTAGTTTGGGGGGCACACAAAAGCCAAACATAACCTGATTCAATGTTAAACCAAGAATTTTCAATCTATTTTGTGAAGATGCCTTCTATTTGCTGCGTTGTTAGGTGCTCTAGTAGAGCGGAATTAAGAGATCTAGGGAATCGTCTAAACGAGCTAAAAAAGGAACGACGAAATCTGTGGATTAAATGCCTCAAAAGGAGAGATTTAACTGAATCGTTTCTGAAAAATGCTCGTATTTGTTCAAAATATTTTGTTAATGGTAAGTATTATGACTGTCTTGTTAAAATACAAAAACACATTTATATTGAAAAATTGGTTTGTTTCTACAAGTAATATTTACTTTTAATACCTTTTAGGTAGTCCAGCAGAACTTGAATAACCCTTTATATACGCCTTCAACTGCAAGCCTGTGTAGTAACTGTGGGTGTGGATCAAATATTCGGATAAATCCAAAATTAAAACCTCTGGCAACTCATTGATACTTAAAGTAAACTCATTAGGTAGAAGTTTATAAGGATCTATATTGGCAATTATTTGTATTTTTTGGTCATACCGACATTTCACATCACTAGCTAACGATGAATAATAGTCAATGTTAGCCATTCTACCACAAAAACAACTTAAAACTTATTGAGAGAATTTAAGAACGCAAAAATTCGGAAACACAATCTCAAAGAACGGTGTAAATACTGATCTAGGCTTTGTTTGCCCCCCAGCAGACCTGTCAAAAGTCACGTGACCTGGAATGCCTAATTAGAAAGTTCTCGTGCTTCAGGCGCTACGCTAATACGGCAACGCTAACAATACGGCATTTTACATGGTATTTTATAGTTCTCGAGCACGAAGACACATAAATCCTCTAATCCCCTATTCTGTTTACATTTTGACAGTTGAGTTGAGTGATCTAACCCCACTTTTTTTGCTTTTTTTCTAACTTTTAGTTATTCTGAAGATTCCTGAGCTTGATTAATTTTCCCTTGGTGTTTTTTATGGACGAATTATTGAAAGTTGCTGTTTTTGCAGACATAAATGGAGCATCAACTAGTTTTGACATAGCATAGCGTTACGGTAAGGCATCCGGTAAGTTCCGTTAGATAGCGGGCTCCGCTAACGCTAATACCGTAAGAACTGTCATACTTGTCAAATAGCGTTGCGGTATTTGAAATTTAGACGGCACGAGAACTCTCTATTCTCATCAAATTTTACCGATGGATCCACCATTCTATGGCCGTCATTGTCATTTTCCATTCACTAAACAAAGATAGCTAACTCATCGGTGTAGTCACCGATGAGAATAAAAACGAGTTAATCCTAACAAACCGAACCTTTACCGATTCCTATGCGCCAAGTGGCAACGTATTTCTTGTAGCACATGGTGGCGCTAGTTATTAGACTATCCAAAACACGTGACACAAATATGGCCGACAAGAGGCACATAAACATTTGACACAAACACAAACCATAACGTCATTAGGTTATGTCATTAATGATCATAATCAAATACTCATTTTCTATTGTGTGCGTCTTAATTTTTAGCCGTTTCTACCCAATTACGGAATCCCTATTGTTTGGGCAAGATTGCTCTACCTACATTTCACTTGGACACCCAGGACCTACCCTTAAAATGTGAAAATATTTATTTGTTGCAACTCCACCGTCCAATGTTGTGCTACCTACTTTAAATAATGGATACAGGAGCATCTACAGAAAGACGATGAAACAGGCAAGGAAGATTTATTACAATGAGAGGTTGGGCATCCGCATCCAATAAACAAAAAGAATAACGACCTACGCGAAAAAAAAATATATACAGGGTGTCCCAAAAAGATACCGACAAACTTTAAGGGGTAGTAGGGGACATCAAAACAAGCATTTTTGTTTATATAAACATATGTCCGCAAATGAGCCATTTGGGCTGTAGAGCAAAAAAACTGTTCGATACTTTTATTCTTCGCAATAAATAAATCACTGTTTACTGATTAATTTTGCTTTATTATGAAATAAATTATGGTTTAGATTTAGAATAATTGTTCAAAATGTTGACCATTTACATCAATGCAAAAATTACACCGTCGGGTCATTGACTGAAAAGTTTAGTCTACGAAACACCTGTTCGTAATGAGGAAGATCTGATAGCAAGGAAACTGGCGAGTTGTACCCATGTAGAAGCTATTCCCGGAATATTCCAAAGAGTTCGCGAGTTGAACAATTATTGTAAACCATAATTTATTTGCTATTAAAGCAAAATTAATAAGTTAACAGTGATTTAATTATTGCGAAGAATAAAACTAGATACCAAACAGTTTTTTTGCTCTACAGCCCAAATGGCTCATTTGCGGACACATGTTTATATAAACAAAAATGCTTGTTTTGATGTCCCCTACTACCCCTAAAAGTTTGTCGGTATCTTTTTGGGACACCCTGTATACAGGGTGTATATTTTAAGTGATACCACTATTGCTATATCCGAAACGGTAAGAGCTACAGGGTCGGTTAAATTAGAAAAAAGTTGCCTTGTTTGATGCCCATTTAAGACTCGTTTACAGTGTTGCCAAATTTCTTTTAGTTTATGAAATACAGGGTGATTTCTAAGAAACGTCCAAAAATATTTCATCATTTATTTAGAAAACTATTGATTTTTGAGACACAATTTAAATTTGAAAGTTTTATAATCTTTTCCGCTCTACAACATGACATCTTCAAATTTCAAATCCGATGTTTCGTGATCGAGATACCATCATCAACTTAATTTTCTTAAATACGAACCTGGATTTTTTATGTCATTTTTAGGAAGCGCCCTTAATTCTCTTTCCAAAAATGACATAAAAAATCCAGGTCCGTATTTGAAAAAATGAAGTTGATGATAGTATCTCGATCACGAAACGTCGGATTTAAAATTTGAAGATGCCATGTTGTAGAGCGAAAAAAATTATAAGACTTTCAAATTTAAATTGTGTCCCGAATATCACTAGTTTTCAAAATAATTGACGAAATAATTTTAGGCCTTTTTTATAAATCGCCCTGTATTTCATAAACTAAAAGGACTTTGGCAACACTGTAAACAAGTCTTGAATGAGCATCAAAAAGGCAACTTTTTTCTAATTTAACCGACCTTGTAGCTCTTACCGTTTCGTATATAGCCATAGTGGTATCACTTAAAATATACACCCTGTATACATATGTGCTTCCAATTTGAAAGCAGATAATATTAATAATTCATACTACTGTACGATTGCTCAGAAACTGAGTATCAAAAATAGAAAATCTTCTGGATGGGACGATATCTCAGTTAGGCTGTTGATGTGTTGGCGGATTCCATTATTAATTCTTTTGTTACCGGAAGTTTTCCCTCATTTTTGAAGCAATCTTGGGTAGTACCTTTATTTAATAAGGGGGTGATAAGAATTTACCATCTAATTACCGGCCAATATTCTTACTGGCAACTTAGACTAAAATTGTAGAGTGGCTAATTAAGGTGGATGGTGAGCTTCCTTGATTAGACATAAATTGCTTTCTCTGTCTCTGTTTCAGCAGTCAAACAACACTGATGATGCCATATTTCATCTCCTGGATGAGCTGTATTAGAAGATAAATGACGAAGAAGTGGCCGCGGTAGTTTTTTGTGACCTGAAAAAAGCTTTCGATTGTGTCTGTCATGAAGTACTGCTTCTAGGGGTGCAGTACTTCAGAGGGTTTGGATATCACTGCAGGAGTGCCCTAGGGATCTGTTCTATTTCTAACATTAATAAAAATACGAGTAAAAAGAACGAGTATCAAAACGCAAATGAACAATGAGCACTATTTTTTTGAAAAAAATTTCATGACACATTGAATGACACATAAAAAAAGGGTTTGTGTGCCTCTTGGCGGCCATTTTAATTCAAGTTTGACAGCATCTTGGATAGTTCAATTGGTACATGGATACCTTAAACATGAATCTATTTTTTGACGTTGCGATATACAGGGCGTTCCATT